GGATATGGGGTGATATCAGAGAGTGTATCTGGCCTCCAGTGAGCTATTTATCTCTGTCACGCCTCCAAATGAGGTCATGAAATTCCGACCTGATTGACAGGCTAGACTCCACCCCTTCACAAGTTGACAGGAGATTATGTAACTGCTACAGTGCCTTCAGGTGGACTCTTAACTTTCAACCTTGAGATCAGCAACTGAGCATACTGAGACCATGGAGAAAAAGATAGTGTAAAGATGACCTTTGAAATAACAATTCCGATTAAAAAGCACTTACTAAATGTCAAAATAATAATAATAAAATAAGAAATTACCATCCTTATCCCTCTAAGAAAGCTCATTTAGGAAAATGTTTTAACATAATTTCAAACAACTTTTGGTCAGAGGGAAATGGAATTGGTTTTGAACTGCATGTTTATTATATGACGAAGTTTGGAACACTAGCCAAGAGGAGAGTATACTTTATTCATCCTGGACTTCAAGATCACAGGACTAAGTAGGAAGGAAGGGCATAGAAGTATGAAAATATTTTAATATTTTAGGGATATGAACATATTATGTGGGTGGCTATATCTTACCACCTCCGGCTATATAGGAGTACCCAATTCCACATGACCCCAAGGTCTAAAGTCAAGATCAGACATGCGTCCATCCTCCATTTCTCCTTATCCTATTGTGACATCAACCATCTCTCACTACTTTTTCGGTAGGTGATATAATTCCTTGTAATGGTCATACAGAATTCACAGACAATACTCATATTATAAGATTTATTAGGGAAGGTAACAGGTTATAAAATATCCCTGTTTTGTCCACAGTACCTCTTCTCAGCCATGCTGGAAATCATTTCTCTTTCTGGTGCTCAGACTCTCAGCCACTTCATCCCTTGGCCTCTGCTGTGACCAGTAAACCCACTGCCACTCTGCCTCATGGTCTTGATATGCCTTCTCTGCTCTGTCTCATGACCCTGATGCTATGGTTTTGGTTGCTTCTGCCACTTTAGTGAAGCCTGACATGTGCTCCACTGGTGGCTTTTCTTAGTGAGAGTCTTGGGATTCCTGTTTCTGCTTCCAAGATGGCTCACTCTCACACCCAGCAGAATGGTAAAACTGACCAATCCCTGAGTTAGAGTCTTATAGACCTTATTTGCATGCTCCCACCCAGTAACCAAGTGGGAGTTTAAAAAAAATTATGGATAGAAGAGCCATGTCAAGTAATTTCATATAACTATATTTTATTCATTTTTGTAATTCTCACATATCCAAGAGCGATAGCCTATCTGTTTGTGACCCGAAATCAGAATGGGTAAATGAATAAAGTTCCATCATATTTTCAAAATAGATAATGGAGTGAGAAACACCCTAGAGAGACAAGACTCATATTTCTAAATGCTACTTTGTATTGGTGGTTTATATTGCTATTTTTATTTTCCTCCCTATCTGTGTCATTCATTCTCCCACAGACATCCACTTTACATATGGGGCACTTAAAATGTTGTAAATGAGTAACTACACAAACTCAGAGGGTCTTTTTCTCCTTTAAGAGACACTGTGGAGAAATAGAAAGTTGAGCTAAAATTCTCCATAATGTGTTCTACTTTTATAAAGGAAAATAAATAAAATACAGGGCATAATTTCTGCCTTATTGCTTATTTTTGGAGATAAAGCCAAGGTCTGCAAAATAACACTGAACCAGATAAACCTTTATACCAGAGGGCTCTAAAGCATGCGATTCCAATTTAAGTATAGTAAGAACTCAGAGACAAAAATGTTCAACAAGTAAAGACTCCATTAGAGCAGGCAGCTGAGAAGAACTGGGGCTGGAGATGGACCTTTTAGCATAGTGAGTACCCTCACCAAAAAACCCCAAACTCACCACCACCAGTCAATGATGACTCATAGTGACCCCCTGTGGGTTTCTGAGACTATAACTGTTTATAGGAGTAGAAAGTCAGGTCTTTCTCTTGAGGAGTTGCTGGTGGTTTTGAATTGCTAATGATGGAGATCACAACCCAACACGTAACCACTACACCAACAGGATCCTTGTAGTGAGCGGTCTTAGAGACATCATTTCCCACGCTCCTTGAGGGCCTGTGTAGAGAGAGGTTAGAATAAATGGGAAACACAGCTCATCTATAAAACAAGTATACATCATTGTCATCTTAGCTGTCCAGGTGATCAGATTTAAGGAGCAAGAGCTGAATTTGTCCTAGAGTTTCAGCCTCAAGAAAGTGATACCATCAACTGTCCCAGAAACAGATTTCAGCCTTTGTGGGACCCAGGCCTGTGTTCTGGTGGCTGGTTGCTTGTTACCTATCCACTTTGCTGGGAACAGACTCTTTTCCTTCCTCACCAGGATTGGACTATAATTAAAAGTTTACTAAACAGAGTGGTGATTTTTAACCATGGCAACCAGTCTCCTTTCTCCTTCCATGAAAATAATTGGTGCTTTCTGTGTATTATATCTTTGCGTGGATACACACAAACAAAACCTCCCACTAGCATTTTCCTCTTTGTAATCAAGCCTTATCTGTCAACTACTCTGACCAAATGGTGTGTTGGAGTTAGTTAAATCAACACTCTATCTCTGTCAGCATGTGGTTAAAGCACTGAGTGAACATTTTGACTATAAAAGTATCACTAGGCTCTATGGGTAGTTACCTGGCCCTTGATAAGTGAGGTCCAGGAAATGTAGTTCCGGGCTAGGCAACTGCTCTCAACAACAACTCTACCCATTGGAGGAGCATACATTTTAGTGAATTTTTAGATGTCTTTGCTGTGTTCAGGTACCATGTTGCAAACTTGCAGCCCAAGTCCTAACCCCTCCTGGATTTAGCTCATCTTAACAAATATTACACAAAACTTTAGGGTCCATTTCAAGATTTGTACCATTCAAGAAGCTTTGGAGTATCCTGATGACACTAAGTAACAAAGGGTGCCTACTAAATGGCATTGCACAAGTCATATTTATCTTCACGTATAAAAACATCACCTCCTGTGGGACTTGAGTGGATTTAAAAAAAATCTATAAATGTATGGCACAAAAATACACACCAAAATTGTTTTATTATGTAAATTAAAGGATATTAGATGACTGGGTTTACAAGGGAGTGGTGAGACTGCTAACGGTTGATGTTTTAGTGGGCAATGTTTATTTATCATAAAACACATACATCAATTCTCATTTTATGGCTGATTTTGCTTTTGTTGTTGATTTGTGACTTAGAAGACTCCTCGTGCTATAGAGTGGAACCACTCCATTGGGTATTCCTGGCTGTAATCTTTATGGAAGGAGACCACCAGGTCTATTTCTTCCTCAAAGCTGTAGGGCCACTTTGAACAACCAACCTTTTGGTTACCAGCACAGTGCAAACAGTTTGCTTCATCAGTTAATTTTCAATTCTCATTTTGAACTGAAAAATGTTCATAAATCTGAAGGTCTTTTGCTGTTGTTAATGTATAAATTGATTGCTGTGTGGTTGATTCCAACTCAGAGCCATCCTATGAAGAGTAGAAATGTTTCACATGATGTTAAAATAATTCATAATTTTCGAGGTGTTATAAGCATACCAACCGAGTTTATAATCTTAAAAGTTAAGAATTGCCGTAACTTAAAAGGTTCAACTCTTTGCTACCTGGAATGTGATTGTGGTAGTTACATAATCTGTTGTTAATTTGAAACTTAAGAGTGAAGGGGTGGAGTTTAGCCTGTTAACCAGGTCCCAGCTTGATGATCTCATTTGGAGGTGCTCAGGAGATAAATAGCTCTCTGGAGGTAGGACACAAGCTCACTCCCTGCGAGACACTCCTGTTGATAAGACAAATGGAGCTACACTAGATCCCTGGAGTTGAAGGAGCCACATGGAAGCCTGTGCCACTGCCACTGGATCCACAAGATTTTCCACCCACTACCATCTGCTCTTCCTGCATTTGGCATCATTGTGTGTGTTTTATGAGTCTGAAGAGGACTTTTTAGATTGGTATTGGACATATAGGCTAATATCGGACATATGGACTTGATTTGGACTGGGCTGGGATGTTTTCTCAATATTAAATTGCTCTTGTATATAAAGCTCTTTCCTATAACCATATGAGTGTCTATGAATTTGTTCCTCTAGCCTACTTAGACGGACACAGTTATGCCTAACAGCACCCCCAGCTAACATTGTATGCCTCATCAGAGAGAATCAGTTCCAACCATCACATTAGGAGTAGGTTAATGAAATGTTTGATGAAAGATAGTAAACTAATTTTTAAGTTGAATATTTTGTAGGCCTCATAAAGAGAAGCTTTGTTCACAATAGTTAGACAATTTAGAGAATACATTCTATCATATAACAAGAAGTCTAGAGTTAAGGTAGTTTCAGGGTAGGTTGATTCCGTTGTTCAGTGATGTCATTCATCATTTTGTTTAATTGGTATCTTGGTCCTGGCATCACAACATATGGACTTTGTCCTTGAGCTGGATCCCTTCATGGCCACATGATACTATCCAGAAAATACTGGAAAGGCATATTGTTTTGATCATGTCTTGAGAGAGACAGTAATAACTTCTTTTTCCCTCAACATGGAAAATAAATGCTTCCTTTCAGACTGCATGGTCAGATTTAAGTCATGTAGACCAGATGTACTTTCCAGGAAAATTCTTTCCCTGGCTTGGTTAGACTACTCGGATTCTATTACATCAGAGAGGGTTTGCTTGCAGAACTTACAGGAGAGGCAAGTAACTCATACCTCCAAAAATTGAGGGTCCATTAGGAAGAAAAATGAGATAGATATATGCTGGGTGTTCAATCAGCAGCAGTGTCCACTGCAAGTGCTTTACCCATGCAATCTACTGAACAGCTCTCTATGGATGAGTGAATGATTTTCACAATCCCACAACATCCCTGACCCTTTCCTATGCCACTTCTACAGATTCAAAATCATATGTTTTATAGTATCCAATATTGAGCCTTATAAATTGCCTTCCTTCTTTGAAATTCTTTTTATTCTTTATTTTAGGCCTCATAATGGGATTAATTTTACGATACGTTACCGCACCAACTGATATTGAAAGTGGAACTGTCTATGACTGTGGAAAACTGCCCTTCAGCCCATCAACTCTGTTGGTCAATATCACTGACCAAGTTTATGAATACAAATTTAAAAGAGAAATAAGCCAGCACAACATCAATCCTCACCAAGGCAATGCTATACTTGAAAAGGTAAGAACTTGTTCAATTACGTATTTTAGTCTCCTACTATATATAATTGCATCATATATTGTTGTTGTTGTTGTTTGTTGTCATCAAGTCCAATACAATGTGTTACAGAATAGAACTGCTCCATAGGGTTTTCTGAGGTATAATCTTAATGGAAGCAAATCCCAAGCCTTTTCTTTATGTTATATTTCTTTGTGTCACCCTTTATGTCAGCCTCCAGCCCAAATCCTTTGCACATCCTATTGTGTCACCTATGGCAGGGATGAAAAGCTTTCTTTTTTTTTTTTTTGCCAAGGGCCATATAACTTATAACTTATAACATATAACTTATAAGTTATAACATATAACTTATAACACCATCCACAGGCCATATAAAATAGTCAACTTAAAAGTTAGTTTACTATGTTTGATCAAACATTTAATTAACCTACTCCTAATGTGAGGCCTGTGATGTTAACTGGTGTTGATGATTTCTCAGCCTTTATACGGTCAGTCTGTAGTTTGGACAGTCCCCACCCACTCTAGGTAATGCACGGAGCCCAGTGACAAAGTGGTTAAGTGCTAGGCTGTTAGTCAAAAGGCCTACAGTTTGAACCCAGGAGTAGCCGTGGGAGAATGACGTGGCACTCTGGTTGCTATAAAGATTACAGCCCTTGCAACCCTGTGAGGCAATTCTACTCTCTACTCTGTACTCTGTGGATGCTTTAAGACACAAATCACTGGCAATGTTGGTTTTGTTAAAATTTGGGCTTATATTGAAGGGACTTCAAAGACTTCTTGGTGTTCACTAACTTTTTGAAACTCCCTCATGGATATAAACTCTCCCCTTTAAGCAATTATTATAAACTCTCCCCTTTAAGCAAGTACTGTTGAAGCAATTATTTTTTTCAAGTTCACTGAAAGGTTAACAGCTTGAATTATACTCTTATTATAAGTTCAGTTGCTATATTTTTTCCTTGGAGTTGAGGAACATATTTTTAGTACAATTGTTTTGAAAGTCACAATTAAATTAGGTAAAAAGAGAATAATAATTTAACTGGCTTCATCTTTCTTGATACTTCATGTTTTCACATGTGCATTTGAAGTATCAATGTACCTATTACCAACTACTTGGTTGAAGTCTTCCTTCAGTCAAAGGGAAATGGAGGAGGATGAAAACATTCCCACTTGAAAGCCTTGATCTAGGGTGACTTGTTGTTTTCAAACATCAACCACTTGGCTGTTTACAGCGACACACAGTCAGTCTCAACTGAGCTGGATCCTATACATTTGGAAGGAAACATGTAAAGTTGCTAAGTAAAAAAAAAAAAAAGAAAGCGAAGTAATTCATGTTTTTAAAAAATGGTTTATTATTGAAACGTGTGAACTCTCTCAGTTATTGGTTGGAAACTTTAACAAGCCAAATTGCCTTTTGAGGTGTCCTGTGTGTCCTTGGTCATTCTGAGCATAAGTGAATTCTTTTAAGACAAAAGTTGTACAACAAGGTTTTCTCACATAATCTGATACAAGAACAAAGAGTTATTCTAGTTTCTTCTGGGTCAGAGCTGAGCAGTTTCTTGATAAATTACATTTTAAATACTTTTATCCCATATAGATTTCATTTTCTTTAAAAAATATCCCTTTTTTTATGTTTTTCAGTTTTAAAGTGGTTAAGGTAGTTATTTTTTTCTCATTCAAGATGCTTTGGGTAATTTGTAGTAATTTTTTCTCACATTATCTTCCACCAGCAGGTTTCTAGATTAACTTCCTGCTAGCTAATGGTGGGGGCTCCAGGAAGTCAAACTAATTATAACATGAGCCTAAATCAGACTTAGTTAAAGAGGTGAACCAAAGCACACAAAAAGCAAATCCAATAATGTATTTTTTTTCAAAACCATTTTATTGGGAGTTAATACAGATATATCATTCCATCATTCAACCATATAAAACAGTATTGTACAATTGCTACCACAATCAGTTTTAAAACATTCTTTTCCTTCTTGACATCAGCTCCCTTCCCCCCACCCCCAATCCCACCACTGTACCCCCAGAAACCCTTATTCTACTTGCTGTACCTATAGGTTCATCAATCCTGGGTTTCAGAAACTGAAAAACATGAGGAGTCACTTCTGGATCTTCTGCTTTGGGGGAGGATCTCTTCCAATTGACCTTCTTGTTTGCATGGAAAATAGTCTATCCTAGCATAAATTAATTTATAAAATCACCCTGTTAGCAATTTAAGATTTTAATTTAAAGCAGATTCTTCTATTTTACTTTTGCTTAGGACTGGGAGAAAAATTAAGAAGTCCTTCTCTTCCTTATCTCATACCAATTTTTAATCCACATTTCTAAGATAGACTGTGGTATTCTACCAAACAGGTTGAGCTCTGTCTGTAGTATCTAAGGCATCCACAACTGAAATACTACATTTGGATGACTAATAAATGGGGATATATACTCTCACAGTTTTAGGAGGTTAGAAATTTGAATTCAGGGCTTTGGCTCTAAGGGGAGGATTTCTCTTTCTGTGGGCACTTGGGAAATATCTTTGCCTCCTTTCAAAATCTGTTGTTGTTGATAGCTGTCATTGAGTCAGTTCCAACTCATAGTGGCCCCTTTACAACAGAACAGGGTGCAGCCCAGTTCTGTGCCATGCTCAAAATGGTTCATATGTTTGAGCCCATTGTTGTAACTACTGTGTCAGTGCATCTTGTCAAGGGTCTTCCTGTTTTCATTGCCCCTCTCATTTACTAAGCTTATGATGTCCTTTTCCAAGCACTGGTCTCTCCAGAGGACATGTCCAAAGTACAAGAGTTCAAGTCTCACCATCCTTGCTGCCAAGGGATATTTGGCTGTACTTCTAAGACATATTTGTTTATTCTTTCAGAAGTCCACAGTACTTTCAATATTCTTCGGCAGCACCATAATTCAAATGCATTGATTCTTCTTCACTCTTCCTCATTCAATATCCACTTTTCACATGCATATAAGGCAATTGAAAATGCCATGGTTTGAGTTAGATATACTGTGGTTGTTACAAAATCTGTTGTCAATTTGAGACTTAAGAGTGAAAGGGTGGAGTTTAGCCTGTCAATCAGGTCGCAGCTTGATGACTTCATTTGGAGGTGTTTAGGAGATAAATAGCTCCTGAGAGGCAGGACACACACTCCCTATGAGACGTTCTTTCTAACAAGACACATGGAGCTATGCTAGAGCCCTGGGAGCTGGAGGAGTCATGTGGAGACCCCTGCCAGTGCTGAGATGCTTCTACCACTACTGGATCCACAAGATTTTCCACCCACTGGCCTGTGATATTCCTGCATTCGGCATTATTGCAAGGCTGTGTGAGTCTAAAGAGGAATTCATGGACTAGTATTGGACATAGAGGCTAACATTGGACTTATGGACTTGATCTGGATGGGGCTGGGATGTTTTCTTAATGTAAAATTGCTCTTTTATGTAAAGTTCTTTCTTGCACAAATATGACTGCCTATAAATTTGTTTCTCTAGTCAACCCAGACTAACACATATACCTTAGTCTTCAAAGTAACATTCTTGCTTTTTAACACTTTAAAGAGGTCTAGGCATTACCTAAGGAAGTTTCCCTCATATTGAATCATGGCTATGACTGAAATAATAGGGTACTATTGAATTCCACCCTAGTCCTCTTACAGCTGACTGGTTTGTCACATCAAAGCACTTCATGGGGGTTATCACATCATGACATAGCTGGCAAATTAACATCACTACCTAATTGCCCCTGTCAGTTGTCATACTGTGGCGACTTATATGTTGCTATGATGCTAGAAGCTATGTCACTGGCATTTCAAATGTCAGCGGGATCACACAAAGTGAGCAAGTTTCAGAACAGCTTCAAGACTAAAAACAGACTGCGAAGAAGAAATTCGCTGCCAACTTCAAAGGAAACCTTATGCATAACCACCGAAAACCTTACACATAACATTGAAACATTGCTAGATACTAAAGGCTAAATGAATGGAAGCAGAACATTGTCAGAGATAGTGCCAGAGGATGGGAGCCTTGGATATAAAGGCATTTGAAATACGACTGGTAAGGAGCTGCTTTCTCAAAGTAGATTTGACTATAGTGATATGAATGGAGTAAACCTGCTGGCCTAAAGCCTTCAAAATCTTCATTTGCTGATGGGACACAGTTCAAAATGAGAAGAAACAGCTGAAAACATCAATTAATAATCAGAACTTGTAATATACAAAGTATGGCTATTGGAAAATTGGAAGGCATCAAAAATGAAATGGAATGCATACAGATCAGTATACTAAGCCTTGATGAACAAAAATGGAGAAATGGGCTGATATGGGCCATTTTGAATCATCAAGTCACATGGTTTACTAGGCCAGGATTGACACAATCAAGAAGAATGGTGCTGCATTCATCATGACAAAGGACATTTCAAGGTCCATGCTGTCTGTGATAGCATTGTATCTATCTGCCTTCCAGGAAATCCAATCAATAAAACTATTACTCAGATTTATTCACTAGCCACCAAAGCTAGTGATATAAAATTTGAAGAAATCTACCAATGGTCTGAGTCAGATATTGGTCAAACATGCAATAAAGATGCATTGATAATTATTGGTGATTGGAATACAAAAGTTAGAAAAAAAGAGGAAGGAACAGAAGTTGGAAAATATGGTCTTGGTGATAAAATGAAGCTGGAAATGGCAAGATAGAATTTTGTGAGACCATGACTTGTTCATAGCAAATACCTTTCAACAACACAAATGGTAACTATGCACATGGACTTCTCCAAATGGAACACACAGAAATCAAATTTACTACATCTGTGGGAAGTCACGATGGAGAAGCTCAATATCAGAAGCTAGAATGAGGCCAGGGGCTGACTGTGGAACAGATCGCCAATTGCTCATGTGAAAATTCAGGTTGAAGTTGAAGAAAATGAAAACAAGTCCACTAGAGCCAAAATAGGACCTTGAGGATATCCTCCCCAAATTTGGAGACCATCTCGAGATGCATTAAATGCT